AAAAATCAATCAAAATCGAGTACTAAAAAAGTTTTTTAATTTTTTCCTTGCAACGTAAAACACAAATAACGTGCGCGATTTAGCTGTGCAATTGAACAAATTTGTCGAGTAAGACTTCTGCCTTCCTCTCTTTTGTGAAAAACTACCTATTTATTTAAAAATGATGTACAGTTCGTATGCTTTAAATGTATTGTTGACAATTCTTAAATTCACGCAATGCTATCGAAGTCCACCAGATGGCGCGCGCGTTGCGAAAACCCGATACTTCTTTAGCGTATGTGTCGAAATATAAAATGACAGTTTTAATGACTTTTTAGACGGGCAACAGTGTAGCACAAAATTGTTGTTTTAGGTTACCCGAAGCGGCCAGCGGCGCAGAAAATGTTGCGCAGGCGTCCGAGACCGAAAGCGAGTCCAGTCAACGATCCAGCACCGGAAAAGACTTCGAAATGGTCGAAGAGGTGGAACTTATCTCTTAACACCAAATTTTATCCTGCACATAACCGGTATAGTTAATCTCTCCGTTTTTAGAAGCTCTTTTACTTTTTCTCCCCTAGTTACCAAATCTTTTTTTTTTATTTTTTATCTTGGTTTTTAAAGTGCATTTTTAGAGTATACCCAAAATTTTGTAAATTTACAAAGGAATAAATAATATATTCTATGCATTTATTTTTAGTTGTTATTTATTTTCAGTTTTTCTTTGTAGGTTAGGTGAATTTATTTATACATACATTATTTGTATATTATTATTTTACTGGTGCTAATAATATATTATATTGATGTAACAGCGGTTTTTTTATTATTTTCATTTTATTTCATTGTTTCCATCACTTGTTTTAACATTTGGTTGCATAGAGCAGCATAAGGGTTCATTTCCACCAGCTAAAATTTTGCAAAACAAGCTTTATTCATCAAATGAAGTTCCTGGACAAATAATTGTAAATAATCACCCCATAATTGTTTGAAAAAAAATTAGAAAAATCGACAATAACCATGTAATAAATAAATAAAAAAAGTCCAGGTATTTCATCTGAAACATTCATGTTTCAACTAGTTGTTTAATTGATATCTATGACTGTTAAAAAATAAATTATTATGGAACCAAACCATGTCATCATTTTAATACATTTCTCTCCGAATTCCATTCAACATTTTTAAGCTCAAAATATAAAAAGGTTCCCAAGAAGCCTTTTTATATTTTGCGCTGTACTTACTTGGCTTTTTGCGAACTGACTCCCCAATTTGGCGGCAACTTCAAAATCTTCCTTGGCTAATTCCAATCTTTCGGCTCTTTTATGCAATATTCCTCTCTGGCAATAAGCTTGACACAAAGTTTTTTTGTGCTTTTCCGTCGACAAGTCTATGGCTTTAGTTAGATCACCAAACGCATCTACAATAACACTAAAAATAACCGAAATAATAACATTAAATATTTACCCTCAAATCTCCTTAAATATTGGTAAATATTTGCCCTGTTGTTGTATAGGGACGGTCTCTTGGCGGCTATAGTTAAGGCTTTGTTTATCAGCTCTAAACCTTCGTTTAATTTGCCTTTTTCGGCCAAAATTATCGCGTCTACTTCCATTTCAGTGGTAGTTTTTTCTTCTGGGGTCAAGTCTTCTTCATCTAAATATAATATGTACTTAATATCAGAAAATATCGGTGTGTCCCAGCAAACACAACCGTAAAGGTTCTTTGATAAGTTTAAGATTCTGTACTTGGTGGTTATTTAAATAATTTTTAATGGAGTGAAGTATTATGGTGGATTAAATGTGGTAGGTAGGTATATATTTATATTATATCACAATACAATTTCTGACGGTCGGGATAAAAACAACAAACCAACAAAGTTGCCAGTTGTAAAAAATTGTTACTATAATTTTTCCTTGCAAAAAATAAATAAAAACTCAATAAATACAAAATTTGTGTGCCCTTAGAGCTCTAATACCCTTCTGTATTTATTAACTCATCCAGCTATTAGCTTAAGCAATGATTAGAAAATTTAGTACCTATTTTAAAAACTCCATAACCACAAAATTAATTTTTTCATCGGTTTTTTCTTTCTGTTTACTCAGATGAAATTAGGATAAGTTCACAGGTTAAACTTTTTACATTCAATTTGTGTAAATAAATCCAAAAGCACTTCCCTTAGTTAAGATATTTACAATTTGAGCACATATCCTAAAATTTGAAATAAATGCACTATATTCTGTCAAGTTGCTAGATTTTGTTTGAATTTACCTTCATTACAAAAATGACATAATAAACAATAAATAAAAACGCCAAATTATAAATTTCCATTGTTGATTTTGTCATTTTTGTAATTACGCTAAATTTAAACAAAATTTGGCAACTTTTTTGACAGAATCTGGAAAGGCTGCTTGTTACATAACATAATAAATTAAATTAGGAAACCAGATTAGCCTAAAGTTCATAGTCGATCAGTGGCATACTTGTTGGTAGGATAAAGGTTATTTTTAATTATTTTTCGTCTTTAGAATTTAGAAAAATAAAGAAAATTCTCAAACCAAACCATATATGTATATATACTTATGTGTTTGCTAGGGTGAGTTTTTGATTGAAACGCCCTGTATATCCTAACAAATATTTTTTATGGTAATTTTTTCAATTAAGTGTTTCAATCTAAAGCACTTAACTTACCTTCTAACTTCTCCTCTTTTAGGTTTTCTAGAGGCAGGTTGGGGTTGAAAACGCAATTTAAAATCGCGTTATCATTTTCACTTAAAGTCGCCATGTTGATGAAATGAAAAACTATGTCGGATTAAAAATTTATTTATTTATATCAACAAATGCAGAACCTGTTCTACAGCTTTAACACATTTACATATTCAAATTTCCTGATACGTAGTATAATGTAATAAAAAAACATATTCATTGGAATAATATATACATTTAAGACCAAATTATTTTGTTGTTGTCGCCAAGTTTCACTTTTTCTGTAGCCAGCAGTTTTAAGGCTCTTGGGAAAGCTTTGTGTTCCGCTGTTTTGATCCTCTCTATTAAAATATCTTCCGTATCGTTTACTTCAATTGGGACCGTTTCTTGAGTTATTATGGCCCCCGCATCTACATCCTCCTAAAAATATTTTAAATATACGTTTGTGAAACGGTTGTTTTTAGTACACTACCTCAACAAAATGTACGCTACATCCACTAACTCTCACGCCAGCCTCGAGAGCTTGCTTCTGCGCATGCGTGCCCTTGAAAAGCGGGAGAAGCGCTGGGTGAACGTTTATCAACTTCCCCTTCCATTTCCTAGTGAACTCCCCGCTTAAAATCCGCATAAAACCTGCCAAACAAACTATATCTACACTCGCAGCTATGAGCTCGTTGTGTATAGCTTTGTCGAAGTCTTCTCTGCTGCTGTAGTCTTTATGACTTAGGACCTGAGATGTAAATTTTAAAAAATATCATGGTATATTATTATATTTGTTATTATTACAGGGCTCCCACGGCTAAATTACAAATTTTATTTAGGAGTTTAGGAGGTTTTTTGTAAAATTTTAAGAGAAGTAAAGTATGGAAATGAATTTCTTTAATTAAATAAAAACATCTCTTTACTAGAAAAAGAAAAAAAAAATAATACTTCTTTTGTAACAATAAGTTATATTGACTAGTTTTTTAGCCAAATCGCTCGACGAGTTTTTTTTTAAATAAAATTAAAAGTGAGGTAAAATTACTACTTTTGTATATATCTGAGGTACATAAATATACATATATATACAAGTATAAATTTCACCACACTTTTAATTTTATTTAAAAAAATGCGTCGATAGATTTAGTTAATGCCAAAATCAAATGAACCGTTTAGTTAATAACTAACAGTAATTAAATCGATAAGGTTAAGAATAGTACAAGTCCAAAAGTAAAATTTTTGATAAAATATTTCAAAAAATCAGTTTTATAGTTCTAAATGCATTTTTGTTAGGACATTTTAACTATTTTATGAAATATAATATTCATTTTCTGTAAAATAATTTATATCTTCTAACAAAAATGTTTTTTAAACTTTAAAATTGATTTTATAAAATAAATTGTCAAAATTAAATTTTTGGACTTGTACTGTTTTTATTCTCACCGATTCAATTGTAATCTTAATACTTAAAAATCTCATAACAAAATATGAAGTTAGCAAAATACAGCAAAACATTCTTTAGATTGTTTACTATTTTAGCTTTCATTTAAAAGAAAATTAAAAATCCTTTTGTTTGGTATATAACACGGTATATTTTTGACTAAAAAACGAAATATCGCTAAAAATTTTGTAGAAGTTTTTATGTTGTTTTTTAAGAAAAATTTTAGTTGTGATATTATATCATTTTAAAAAGAATTTAATAAAATAGAACCTTAATATATATATTTTTAAATTACTTTTTAAAAAAGAATTTTTTTAGCACTACCTTAATTAAACGCAGTCAGGTTGGCCTATTTAAATTTAATTTTTAGGATTTTAGGAGTTTTAGGAGATTGAAGGCAATTTTAGGAGAATTTTAGGAGTTTTGAAGATTTAAGCAAAATTTTAGGAATTTTATGAGTTTTAGGAGGTGTGGGAGCCCTGTTATTATTATTATTACCTTTGTTGGTATATTAACGCGTTCTGCTCGCTCCAAACCTTGCGCGTTTGGTTTGTTCGACAGGACCAAAACTATTTCGCAACCCATTTGGCTTAACGGGTCTAGGGTGGCGTCTATCAGGGCTTGCAGGTTGGTACCACTGCCGGAAATCAACACCCCCACTCTTTTTTTCGCGACAGCGCACTTAGACACAACATGTGGGACGTACTTTCGCATGGAAACCTCCATAACCTCCGTGAAGTTCCTTACAACGACTTGTTCGCCGTTGTTTTTGACTATGGTGCCGATAACTGAACCGCCATGGGGTGCCACAAGCCTCATAATTTCGTCTTGGTGTTCCTTTTGAAGGACCAGAATGCCTCCTAGACCGCAGTTGAAGGTTCTAAGCATCTCCGTTTGGTTTACCCCGCCTGCAGTCGCCAGCCAGGAGAAAACTTCGGGGATCGGCCACTTGGTGGCGTCTATATCGACGGCCAAACTGTCCGGCAGCACTCTGGGTATGTTCTCCAGCAAACCGCCGCCCGTGATGTGCGCGAACGCCTTCACCTTGCCGGTTTTCACCGCCGGTATGACGGCTTTAACGTAGATCTTGGTAGGGGTGAGCAACTCCTCCCCAATCATCCTTCCTGATTGGCTGAAAGGAGCTACATCTCTGTAGGTGAGGCCGGACAGTTTCATCACCTTCCTGACGAGACTGAAACCGTTGCTATGCACCCCGCTCGATGGTAAAGCGATTATAACGTCGCCAGGTCGTATTTTTTCAATGTGGGGCATCAATTGCTCCCTTTCCACTGCTCCTACAGAAAAACCGGCAACATCGTAGTCGCCTGGTGGGTACATATCGGGCATTTCCGCAGTTTCGCCACCTTAAGAAAGATGATTACAAAGTCTGTCCCAGAACTAGCGCCACAGAGAAAAAGGAACGTCATACTTTACGATGGCAATGTTTTAAAGTGAAAATTGAACTAGTTTTGTACCCCAGAACCAAAATCTCTAGCAACCACTACAGAATTCCACTCTAGTATGATCTATAACTTTCTTGGAACTGCCACTTAAAATGTACTAAACTCCCTTAGAACTGTATAATATATCCTATAACACCACAACAACTGTCTAAAAATGTCCTAGTCCTGTATATAACTAAATGTCTTAAAATCTAACTATAAGATGTCTTTAAACTGCCTCAGAAGTCGTAAGAATGGCTTAAACATATTTTAAAACTATCTTAGGACTGTTGAAAATGCCCTATAACTCTCTAAGAACTGTTTAAAATAACTGCCCCAGACAGCAATATGACGTCTTAATTAAGTCTGCATAAGCTCTATTTTATGATTTGGACGTCAAATACAACATCAGAAAGAAGTTTTTAAGAAGTTCTTAAGACTTCGAATGCGCCACCTATTGAAATAATCAAGACTTCTCAAAAAAGAACTCTTGAGGAACCCTTTTCTTTGACTTCGCAATTAAGCATTTTCCGTTTTTGATATAGAAGTACAACTAGGGTACTGATGAAGAAATTGCATACTGGATCGGTCATCTATGATCGTAGCTTATTTTGACATGTCAAGTTTATTTTATTAATTTGTTAAATTGATTTTATTAAAATCATTTTAATAATTTGCTCGTATTCGCTTATTTTAGGAATTGCGATCAAAGATATTATCTTTGATTGCGATTACTTCGTCTCACTTTTGTTTAAATTCAAGCGTGCTCTTCACCGGCACCGATAGGCGGCCTTTTTCGCTCTTTTGGAGCTCGTCAGTATCGGGTAGCCGTTTACCTAGGTCTAAGACCGTTTGGTATGGAGCACGCTCTAAATTCTACTTCGCCGCTTTTTATATCAAACACAAGCAGTTACAGCGGTGAGAAGAAAGTAATCGCATTAAAATGTCATAAATGTGACGTCTCTATGTTGACTTCTAAAAGAGTTAATAGTATGATTTCAATTGGAAGTAAGAAAAAAGAATACTCTGTAAGCTCAAAATAAATTGTTCAAAAAGAGGTCAAGAAAAGATCTTCATTTGTACGTAAAAAAATTGACTTCTTATTTATGAGTTCATTAACAGCTCAGAATTCTGAGCTCATAAAAAGGAGCTGTTTAAGACGTCATGTTAGAACTTCTACACGAAGTTGTTTAAAAGACTGAAATCTTTCTGAATTGGATGCTGACTGTGTGTTTTATAATTCTGACGCCTAAAATTTATTTTAGAACTACAAGATATCTTTAAACTGTCTCAGAAGTCGTAAAGCTGTTCAAACCCAATCAAATATGTCCTAATTGTCATAAAACTGTCTAAAACTGCTCTTCCTACTATTTGCATCAGAGGAGGAAAACATAACTTGAAATGATAAATAATGACAGGATTTTAATTTTCTAGTATTTTTTCTCTGTAGCGCGAGTTCTGGAATATATATATATATATATATATTAAATAGTTTCTTCTTTACCTACAAGTGAGCATCCAGCCTGTCTGCAACCTTCAGCGACTCCTGTTACAACTTCTTTCGCGACTTTAACATCCAATGCTCCGCAAGCAAAGTAATCGAGGAAAAATAGAGGTTCCGCACCGTGAGCTAATACGTCATTGACGCACATCGCCACCAAATCGATACCGATCGTGTCATGCATACCCATCTCTTGGGCAATCTAAAATCAACAAATTGTGAATGAAGGGGCCAAGTTTGGAGTCCTGTGTACCTTCAACTTGGTGCCGACACCATCGGTTCCCGACACAAGGAGGGGGTCCTTGTAGCCCGCCGCTTTGGGGTCAAAGAGACCCCCGAAACCCCCCAAACCGCCCATCACGCCGGGTCTGTTCGTGGACTTTGCGCACGGTTTAATGTGGCTTACCAGGTCGTTACCGGCGGTAATATCCACCCCGCTTTGTTTGTAAGTGAGCTTACCGGATTTTAGAATGGCACTTGAATAAATTGTATTGTATTTTGAGTTTTACTCGCAATGAAATAGTTACCTTGCTATCCCTTTATGAGCAATATCTTTTCTGTGCTGAGAACCATCAAACTTGATAGTTTGGCAAGCTAAAGTGGCGTTAGCTGCAGCTAGGGCCAGCTGCGGAGCCAAATTGACGGCTATCAACACTCTTCCACCGTTGGTGACCAAATGCTCGCCTTCTATGGCTGTCCCACAGTGGAAAACAACGTGGTTAGGCCTGTGGCTCACAGTATCAATACCGGTAATAACCTGACCCTTGCTAGACGTTTCTGGGTACCCCCTGGAAGCCATCACCACACCCACAGCGTTGGTATTTTCCATCCACTGAAGTTCTTGATTCTTCAAAGTCCCATTACAGCAAGACGACATGATGGTGTACAAATCCGACCTCAATAAAGGAAGAATAACTTCTGTTTCTGGATCCCCGAATCTAGCGTTATACTCCAACACTTTAGGGCCTTCTTTTGTCAGCATAAGTCCCGCATATAACACTCCAACAAACTTGATGCCTTCCTTGTTGAACCCATCCAGAGTCCTCTGCAATATTTCCTTCTCCACGAACTTCAAACCCTCATCGTTCAACAGTGGACACGGACAGTAAGCCCCCATCCCCCCAGTATTGGGACCCTGATCACCATCGAAAATCCTCTTGTGATCCTGAGCCGGCAACATCGCCTTCACGGTGTTGCCATCGCAGAACGCCAAAACCGACACTTCCTCGCCTTTCAGCAACTCCTCAATCACCACGGTTTCTCCGGCTGACCCGAACTTTTTCCCGGTCAAAATTTCGTCGACGCCGTCGCAAGCTTCTTTTTTGCTTGCAGCTACCACAACGCCCTTACCAGCTGCTAAGCCGCTCGCTTTGACTACAAGGGCATCCCAGGGAGCGCTGCAAAAAATGCCAAATAGGGTAGTTAAATTTTTTCTGACCTATACTTTTTATGGTTTTATTCAAGGCGTTTTGTAATATTAAACATTTATGTGAAATCAGAATTTCAATTGAGTTTACCGTTTTCGAGATATTTACAAAAAATATAAATTTTTATGACGTCACAAACCTCGCCATGTGACCAACATTCTAAGATTTCTATTGGTTGAAAATTACCCTGTTGTCAAGTTGTCTTGTTAATGATTTCATTCGGTTATGTCAGAAAATACCCGAAGAGGTTATGTACAAATAGTGTCACTGTCAGTTGAGTGAAAGATGGTCACCAAATTCATTAAGTACCTATCTTCCTTATTACGAGGTATCATATTACTGTTTGATATTTTAGAGTCCAAGATATATCTAAAAGAATATAAAGAACTAGGCATTATACTAATGAAATGCATTTACGACAAAATATGATTATAATTATAGGTACTTACTTTATTTGTTTAAAAGCTCCAATGTTCAATGTAACCAACCATTCCACAAGATTCCTCTGATTTGGAGTCCGTAATTAATAAATCACTTATCTAATATCAATTACAAATAACATAACAATAACATTGATTTTCAATAATCTAAATTTAAAAAAAACATAACCCGAAAAAAAGAAACGTCAAAAAATCAATTCTTCTTCTTCTCAACTAAAATTATAGATCAAGTGGTTTTAAAACTAAAATATTATAACGTGGCGCCATCTATCGTAAGAATCTTAAACTAAACACACTGGCAACCATAGAAAAAGCTGGCAACGTTGTCAATAGCCTAGTGACGTAATTGGGAGATTTTTTTGTAAATATCTCGAAAACGGTAAACTTAATTGAAATTCCGATTTCACAGAAATGTTTAAAATTACAAAACGCCTTGAATAAAACCATAAAAAGTATAGGTCAGAAAAAATTTAACTACCCCATTGAGACCGCACCAAAGTAAAAACAATCACTCACTTGTTGATGAAATCCTTTGCTTCCTTGGCGTTTTCGAAGGATTTCCACCTAGCTGTGGGGATTTGGTGCCTATCGAAAAATGCCTTGGCCCAATTTTTGTTCGACTCGATTTGAGCGGCATTTTTTTGAGGTCCAAAGGTGGGAATGCCTTCAGAGGTTAACACGTCTGCGATACCGTTTGCCAGAGGGTCTTCTGGACCTATTATCACCAAGGAGACGTTTTGGGATTTGCAGAAACTCGCTACCTCCTAAAAAGGACTAAGTCTTACTTATGTAGCTCAATATTCTTAAGACAGAAGCATATACCTAGGTATAGGCGGCTGTTTTAAGAATGTGGACTTGGAGCTTTAGCTTTAGCTTAAAAATTAAAAAACTACATAAACATTTCTAGAGTTTTTATCTGGACTGCGGCAACGTTGCAAATTTAGGGTTTTGGTTGGTAAATACGCAACCAATTAAAACAAACTAAACTAGTTATAAATGTAATTGTGGTTATGTTTAAATTATTGTAGGTTACATTGAACTTGCAAATTGAAAGAAGAAAAAGTCAGGAAAATTAATTAATAGATTTTTCACAAAAAGGTTGAACCTAACAGCAAATATTTTTAATTTTTTGTTTTTTATTTCCCTTATTTTTTTAAATTTCAAAAGTTTTTAATCTGCTGAAAATATTTGTAAAACCAAAAACGTTACTTTTTTACTCCAAAAGTCCATAAGGCGATGTACTTTTTCTGCCATTTGGCATAACTTCATCAAAATTAAGTTTTGCCCTTAAAAGTGCTTTTACTTTAGAATCTGATATTATTTTTGGCATAGTTATCTTTTTATATCGATATTATATAATAATTAACAAGTAATACATATTACTGTCAATTTGACAGTGTCAAAGTATTTAATTAAGATCTTCAGCAGAAATACCATTTTTTAACACTAAAAATACTAAACTGGCAAAAGCTATCAAGTTAATAAAAAAATCATGAGTCCAAATAAAAAAACATGAATTTAGGTTCCTAAAGAACATCTGACAACCATGTCCATTACATAACCTAAATTTTGAGATGATTGGCAAATCAATACTTTATACTTTAAATTTTCCATTTTATTTACTGCTACATTTAATAAACTAGTGCATTAAGTAGGGAAAAACTGAGGTTAAACCAGGCTGACAGATGTCATATTGGTGAAAATTGAAAATTAAAACCTCTTGACAGTTGACATGTGTCAAATAAAATTGGATTGAATTCTGAAAAAACATTCTTCGCGGATATTGTATAACTTGTTTATAAAAAAAACTCGTGTATCAAATGACGTTTATAAAACCAGTTACAATTTTTGACACATAGGTTCCTGAAGAACATTTGACAACAATGTCATGAGTTTGACAAATACATAACCTCAATTTTGTCATCTTAGTCTGTTTTTTTGTAAAAAAGTTAACATTCTGTGAATTTAAATCAACACAATTGGTAAATATGATTTTTTTACTTTAAACTGTCCATTTTAAAAATCAATATTTTAAATTCCATCTGAAACACCCTGTATAGGGCAACCACCTGAATATTTTGACCTTAACCTCAAACTCGCGTGCTTACCTTAAAATTCTTCATGTCCAACTGGACATTTTCCGCCTTGTGCACCTGTTGAATGGCAAAACTGCCGGGTGCTGCGAAAATTTTGTTCACTTGACTGCTTTGCGAGATTTTCCAAGCAATGGCATGTTCGCGACCGCCACTACCAATAACAAGCACATTTTTCGACATTTTCAAAACTTAAAAGCCGTATTAACACTAAAGATTTACTTAAAACGATTTATTACTATGAAATCCTACGATTAAGTGGTTAATTTGACGACATTCGAAAAGCGAAAACACACGCCGTCGACCAATGAGAGAGACGGACACTTGTTGCCCGCCAATCAGATCGCAGGATATCGAGATAACCCCCTGAGAGATTTTTCTTTTGAGATAACAGGGTTCAAATGTTAAATTTGATGCAACAACTATGGAAATATGGCTTTTATCGGTTTTGCGTACAAAAAACAACTTGCACAATTACTATTACCAATAACACCGAAATTATAATTGATTTTTACGAGGGCTATGCAATGCTTTTGATATATGATAAGGGATTTTCGTATAGTTTAGATATCAACACAATGTGAAAGAATTGGTTAAAAATCTGTATAATTAAAGAAGTCACAGTGTTGCATTTATTTATAAATAAGGGAAGTAAAACGTAAACACAATTCATAGTTTAGTTTTGAAATTCCCGCCACACCTGTTGCAAAGAACATCTGATTAATTTAAATTCATAATATAAACTTCATACACATATTAAACCTGTATTTTTGTTGTTAAATTATGATTGTTTTGTGTTTTACTTCCCTCGTTTATAAAATTAATTAGATAATTAAAGCATTTTTTGTGCAAAAAACATAAAACAACTAAAAACTCGTTTCACAATGCGCACGCGCGAGCCGCGTCACTCCAGCCAATGGCAAGGTTTGTTTTGCCGCCTTTCGTGACAACTAACATGTCTGCCATGTGATCTGTTGTGTCAGTTTGTTGCTTATTATTCGTGTTTTTTTTGGTGTATTTAGTTTTGTGTGACCGTAAAATTTTGCAGATAATGTGCGATCTACAGCCCACGCAATCTCCCCCGTCTTCCATGGTGTTGACTCCTCCCGACGATAATATCAGGATTCCGTGGGGAAGATTGATATCCAGAATGAACGAGATGGACCCAGTTGGTAAGAACGCTAAATAAATGTGTTTTATGATGCACCAGTGTGATTTTTTCGTTAATATCAGTAATTTAGATTGTAGTAAGTAATTGTGTTGGCTGCCAGTTGACACTTTCAAAAGAGTTTTATCTAGTTGGCATTCTTTAGGCAGTTTTTAAGACATTTATAGCTTAATTTGACATTCTTAAAGGCCAAATCTTGCTTGACTTGACATTCTTAAAGCATTTTTTGAATTTGCACTTCACTTGAAGGATTTTCATGATTCCTTATTGGATTTTTTTTTAAATAAGCAGGAGTTTTCATCAACAATTACCTTTTATTGTATCGAGTTGACATTCTTAAGAGTTATGCTAACCTTAAGTTACAGTGGCGGCCGGTGGATTTTGCATATGCCATATCTCAGTTATGAATTTATATGAGTATATCTCAGGTATGAATTTATATGACAAGTTCTGCACAAGCAGAATTTAAATAGAAGCACAAGTTTTAGTGGTGCAATTTATAATTTACCATAATTTATTGAAGTAATTGGTATAAAATCTGCAATATTGGATTTTTTAAAATTTTTAAATTTTAAAATTTGTCAAAAAATAATGTTAAATTATAAATTGCACTAGTAAAATTTGTATTAACCAAAATATCGGTATACCTACGCAAAATCCACCAGCCGCCACTGTTAAGTTAACATTCTTAAGGCAGTTTTTAAGACAGTTATAGCTAGCTTAATTTGACATTCTTATGGCAGGTTTTAAGACAGTCATAGGTAGCTTAAATTGACATTCTTATGGCAGTTTTTAAGATAGTTATTAGGGTTACCATATTCTGTCATAAAAATCGGGACATTTTGTATGAATATATCTTAATTACAAAATTGACATATTGATACAATACAAATTGTAAGTTTGACGTTACTTGACAGAATCTGGTAATTAAGCTAGATATAACTGTCAGTTATGTGTAGCTTAATTTGACATTCTTAACAGTTAAATCTTGCTTGACATTACATTCTTAATTCAGGTTTTAAGACAGTTATATTTAGCTTAATTTTACATTTTTAAGACAGTTAATCTAGCTTAAGTTAGTTAACATTCTTAAGGCAGTTTTTAAGACAGTTATAGCTAGCTTAATTTGACATTCTTAACAGTTAAATCTTGCTTGACATTACATTCTTAAGTCAGTTTTTAAGACAGTTATATTGAGCTTAATTTAACATTTTTATAAAAACTGACTTATAAGTCAGTTTTTAAGACAGTTAATCTAGCTTAAGTTTACATTCTTATGGCAGTTTTTTACAGTCATATCTTGCTTAAATTTAAATTCTTAGAAAAGTTTTTGAGATATACCCAGCTAAGGTGACAGTTAACAGTTAATTCTTTCTTAACTTGACATTCTTAAGGCAGTTTTTAGGTCTAATCTAGTTTAAATTAACATTCTTAGCAGTTAACTTTTGTTGGCATTCTTAAGGCAGTTTTTAAATCTACCTTAAATTGACATTATTTAGGTAGTTATATCTAAGTTAAGATGACATTCTTAAAACGGATAAATCTAGTTTAGGTTGACATTCTAAGGCAGTTGTTCCAAGCTTAATTTGACATTCTTAACAGTTGAATTTTGCTGACTTGAAATTCTTAGGGCAGTTTTTATTGCAGTTATATCTAGCTCAAGTTGACATTCTTAAAACAGTTATATCTAATTTAAGTTGACATTCTTAAGACAGTTATGTCAAGGTTAAGTTGACATTCTTAAAGAAAATTCTTAAGACAGTTATAGCCAGCTTAATTTGACATTCTTAAGGTAGTTAGCTTGACAATCGTTATTTGCGATGTTAAATTGTTTATATACAGAGCTTTTACCTTTTAGATTTAGTATCGGATGCCGTAAGCTTGGGTCGTGCGGAATACTGTGACATAGTCATAGTAAAAAATCGATTTCCCGACCACATTGTCTTCCATATCAGCAAGGAGCATTTCGTGATTAGCAAACAGGCAGGCGGTCCTGTTTTTATCACTGATCTGAGCAAAAATGGCACCTTTATTAACCGTCAAAAAGTCGGAAGGAACAATAAGTACGTCCTCCAAAATAACGATATCATTTCCGTGGGTATTAAGGATATGCTGAGTAAGTTTTGAGTATGTTGTGAAAAAATAGTGTTTTTGTATATTTTTTTACAGTTTACACTTACAAACAAATGGATAATTTCGAGGAAAAATACCTGCCTTTAGAACTGCAAAAGAAGTATGAAGTCGGGGAGTTTTTGGGTAGAGGGGCTGTAGGGGAAGTTAGACTCGTATATGAGAAGGTATTTTTCATAGTGTTTTTTATGGTGAGTTATTTTTTGTTTCGTTTGTAGACAACAACCAAAAAATTTGCGGTGAAAAAAATTACGAAAGGGAAATTTAACACCTCCAGGTTGCACGATTTAAATCACCCCAGCAAAATATATTCGGAAATCAACATTTTGCAGCATCTTAATCATGTAAGTCTTTTAACTTTTATGAAATAATTTTTTAATTTAAAATTTTATTGGTTTAAAATTTCCCCAACTAAAAATTTTAGGTTTACATTTATAAATTTAAAATATTTTAATATAAAAACACAATTTCAGCACATAACCTAAAATTTCTTAAAAGTTCTTAACATTCTTAATGCAGTTTTTAAGACAGTTGAATCTTACTTAACTTAACATTCTAAATGCATTTTTAAGACAGTCATACCTAGCTTAAGTTGACATTCTTAATGCAGTTTTTAAGACAGTTTAATCTTAATTAATTTAAAATTCTTAATTCAGTTTTTAAGACAGTCATACCTAGATTAAGTTGACATTCTTAATGCAGTTTTTAAGACAGTTAAATCTTACTCAATTTAACATTCTTAATGCAGTTTTTTAAGAAAGTCGTGCCTAGCTTAAATTGACATTCTTAATGCAGTTTTTAAGACAGTCATACCTAGCTTAAGTTGACATTCTTAATGCAGTTTTTAAGACAGTTAAATCTTACTTAATTTAACATTCTTCATGCAGTTTTTTAAGAAAGTCGTGCCTAGCTTAAATTGACGTTCTTAATGCAGTTTTTAAGACAGTTAAATCTTGCTTAACTTAACATTCTAAATGCAGTTTTTAAGACAGTCATACCTAGCTTAAGTTGACATTCTTAATGCAGTTTTTAAGACAGTTAAATCTTGCTTAACTTAACATTCTAAATGCAGTTTTTAAAATAGTCATACCTAGATTAAGTTGACATTCTTAATGCAGTTTTTAAGACAGTTAAATCTTACTTAATTTAACATTCCTAATGCAGTTTTTAAGACAGTTAAATCTTGCCTAACTTAACATTCTAAATGCAGTTTTTAAGATAGTCATACCTAGCTTAAGTTGACATTCTTAATGTAGTAAAATCTTGCTTAAGTTGACATTTTTCCTGCAGTAGTTTTTTAGAAAAATCATACCTAACTTAAGTTGACATTCTTAATGCAGTTTTTAAGACAGTTAAAAACTGAATGTTAAGCAAGATTTAGATTAAGTTTACATTTTTAGTGCAGTTTTTAAGACAGTTGAATCTTACATAATTTAACATTCTTAATGCAGTTTTTTAAGAAATTCTTGCCTAGCTTAAATTGACATTCTTAATGCAGTTTTTAGGACAGTTAATTCTTGCTTAACTTAACATTCTAAATGCAGTTTTTAAGATAGTCGTACCTAGCTTAAGTTGACATTCTTAATTCAGTTTTTAAGACAGTTGAATCTTACTTAATTTAACACACTTAAGGCAGTTTTTAAGACAGTCATACCTAGATTAAGTTGACATTCTTAATGCAGTAAAATCTTGCTTAAGTTGACATTGTCATTTTTGTGATTAAGCTAAATTTAAACAAAATTTGGCAACTTTTTTGACAGGATCTGGAAATGCGGTTGTTACCAACAATAACATAACAAATTAAATTAGGCAACCGGATTAGCCTAAAGTTTCTAGTCGATCAGTGGCGTACTTTTTGGTGGGATAAAGGTTATTACAAATTATTTTCAGCCTTGTGTCATTTCCATGAGGGAAATCGTTGAAACCGAGGAGGACGTTTTCATAATCTTGGAGTACATGGAAGGAGGCGAATTGACTAGCCGCATCGAAAAATTTCACTTGTCGGAACCGTTGGTGAAATATTATTTTTACCAAATGGTTCTTGCAGTGAAGCACCTTCACGACAACAACGTTACGCACAGGGACCTCAAGGTGACGTGCAAATAAGATAGAGACGAAAAAAAAAAACGAAATGATTTTTTGCAGCCGGAAAACGTGCTGTTGTCCTCCAATAGAATGGACTGCCTGCTCAAAGTCTCCGACTTCGGCCTGAGCAAGGAATCCGAGGACAACATAATGAGGACCATGTGCGGAACCATGTGCTACGTGGCGCCGGAGATCATAGACGACCGCTACAAAGAGTACGACAACCAGTGCGACATATGGAGTTTGGGGGTCATTTTATATTACATGATGTCCAAGGAATTCCCGTTCAAGTGAGTAAATTGCGCGCTATTCACTTCTCGACGTTTTTCAAACGCTTCTTTTTCTTCAGTTCCAGCGACAGGAGATCTTTGGGGTTATTGATCTTGCGCGGGAATTTTTCCATGGTCGGTCCGAAATGGCAGAACGCGAGTTATCCGGTTAAGGATTTGATTAGAAGAATGTTGACAGTTAATCCAAAAGAAAGAATAAATTCGCGGCAGATTCTCCAACATCCTTGGATTTCTAGGGTAAGTCATATCTAACTTAATTTGACGTTTGAGTTTTTACCACAGTTATATCCAGCTTAACTTTCTTAATGCAGTTTTTAATACCGTCATATGTAGCTTAAGTTGACATTCTTAATGCAGTTTTTAAGACAGTCATACATACATAGCTTAAGTTGACATTCTTAAAGCAGTTTGTAAGTCAGATGAATCTTGCTTAACTTAACATTCTAAATGCAGTTTTTAAGATAGTCATACCTAGATTAAGTTGACATTCTTAATGCAGTTTTTAAGACAGTTGAATCTTACTTAACTTAACATTCTAAATGCAGTTTTTAAGACAGTTATACCTAGCTTAAGTTGACATTCTGAATGCAGTAAAATCTTGCTTAAGTTGACATTTTTCATGCAGTAGGTTTTTAAGAAAATCATACCTAACTTAAGTTGACGTTCTTAATGCAGTGTTTAAGACAGTTAAATCTTGCTTAATTTAACATTCTTATTGCAGTTTTTAAGACAGTTGAATCTTACTTAATTTAACATTCTAAATGCAGTTTTTAAGATAGTCGTACCTAGCTTAAATTGACATTCTTAATGCAGTTTTATAACAGTCATACCTAGCTTAAGTTGACATTCTAAATGCAGTTTTTAAGACAGTTAAATCTTACTTAATTTAACATTCTTAATGCAGTTTTTTAAGAAAGTCGTGCCTAGCTTAAATTGACATTCTTAATGCAGTTTTTAGGACAGTTATATCCAGCTTAAGCTGACCTTCTTAATGCAGTTTTTAAGTTCACATCCTTAATGCAGTTTTTAATCCAGCTTAACTTAACTTTCTTAATGCAGTTTTTAATACCGTCATTTTTTTGTATATGTAGCTTAAGTTGACATTCTTAATGCAGTTTTTTAGACAGTCATACATAGCTTAAGTTGACATTCTTAAAGCAGTTTTTAAAACAGTTGAATCATGCTTAACTTAACATTCTAAATGCAGTTTTTAAGATAGTCATACCTAGATTAAGTTGACATTCTTAATGCAGTTTTTAAGACAGTTGAATCTTACTTAACTTAACATTCTAAATGCAGTTTTTAAGGCAGTTATACCTAGCTTAAGTTGACATTCTGAATGCAGTGAAATCTTGCTTAAGTTGACATTTTTCATGCAGTAGGTTTTTAAGAAAATCATACCTAACTTAAGTTGACATTCTTAATGCAGTTTTTTAAGAAAGTCGTGCCTAGCTTAAATTGACATTCTTAATGCTGTTTTTAAGACAGTTAAATCTTCCTTAATTTAACATTCTTATTGCAGTTTTTAAGACAGTTGAATCTTATTTAGTTTAACATTCTAAATGCAGTTTTTAAGATAGTCGTACCTAACTTAAATTGACATTTTTAATGCAGTTTTTAGGAAAATCTTGTTTAACTTAACATTCTTAATGCAGTTTGTAAGACAGTCATACATAGCTTTATTAAAGCAGTTTTTAAGACAGTAATGACTAGCTTAAGCTGACATTCTTAATGCAGTTTTTAAGACAGTCATACCTAGATTAAGTTAACATTCTTAATGCAGTAAAATCTTGCTTAAGTTGACATTCTTAATGCAGTTTTTTAAGAAAGTCATACCCAACTTAAGTTGACATTCTTAATGCAGTTTTTAAGACAGTCATTCATAACTTTATTAAAGCAGTTTTTAAGACAGTAATGACTAGCTTAGCTGACATTCTTAATGAAGTTTTTAGCTTCAGTTGGTATTCTTAAGGCAGTTTGAAAGACAGTAATAGCTAGCTTAATTTGACTTTCTTAAAACAGTAACATTTTGCTTATCATTCTTAAGGTAATTTTTAAGAAAGTTAAATCTTGCTTGGCGACATTTTTAAGGCAGTTTTAGGACAGTTATATCTACCCACTATATCCAGCTTAAGCTGACATTCTTAATGCAGTTTTTAAGACAGTTAAATCTTGCTTAACTTAACATTCCTGTTGCAGTTTTTACCTAGCTTTATACCTAGATTGACATTCTTAACACTAACTGTGATTTTACTAATCCTGCTTAACTTGGCATTATTAAGGCAATTTTTAAGAAAGTTTACCTTTCTTAGCGATATTTTTAAGACAGTTATATCTAGCCATAGTTAATGCAGCTTTAGTTGAGATACTTAAGGCAGTTTTTAAGACAGTTATATCTAGCTTAAGTTGACATTATGAAGGCAGTTTTTGAGGCAATTATATCTGCTCAAGCGTACATTCTTAAGACGGTAAGAGTATTTTACGATTTCGCATGTCTCTGTCGTCCATTACACACTTATTATAAACGTGTAGTGACTCGTTTTTTCTAATAGGGATCTAGTCTAAAATAGACATTCTCTTATCGCAGGACCAAGCATTGCAGATTAGAGTGAACGATCTCATCAAAAGTCACCAAAAGGTACCGGATTTTGTCGAACCGGATGTAGTCGAACCGGTTGTAGTCTCACCGGATGTCTTCGACCCGGAACCGCACCCAAAGAGATGCAGAGTCGACGGTAACGATGAAACTGCGGAAAATACAACTGCCACAAACACCGTATCTCCTACACTTACTCCCCCACTACCGACCGCAACCATAACATCCCCTGCTACCCCCCCCACATTCACCCCACCTCAAATCCCCGAAAAGGTCGCCTCTGTCTGCCTGAGCGCCCCACTAACTCCCCCTCTTCCTCCTTTAACAGCCGCTCCCCCGATCCCAGAGTCAGATCTCGAAGGCTTGACCCTCACCCAAATGCCTCAATTGATCTTGTCCCCAAATGACCCCAAAGAGTAAGTAACAGTCCCTAGCTCAATGCTCAATTATGTGCCATAATGTTAATTTGTTCGTTTTTTTTTTTGTGATATTTTTGTAGCAATGTACGAGACTTGAGTGAAACTTTTACCTCCCTGAACCTTTAAAAATATGTTATTTATTTAGAAGAATGTTTTTTTTATTTTTTTACAAGTTTAAATGTTGAATGCTGTGAAACAGTATTTTTTTGTATATCACGTTACCTATACTAATAAGGTTTTTTTACTAGTGATAGTGATACTATGACGTTTGTACAAGTACTAGTACAAACTAAATCAAAATTTACAATTAGTATTAATAATTAATGTATCCTCTACTTATTATTATATGTACCCTACATATTATGTAGATGATTTTTTTTATATTTTGTATAATTACGTATTTGTTTTGTTTATGTTTATACTCGTGACCTGGAAAAATGTTGTACTAATGGGCGCAATTTACCATATAAATGTTTGACTATGTCCATACAGACTATTTTCTATTTTTGTTAATAAACTATTTCGAGAAAATATTTTATTTTTATTATTTAAAGTTGAAAATTCTGACAGTTCAGATAATTTATACTTAAAATAAAAATAGTGTACCTAATTAAGACTGGTGGTCAGGTAAGTTCCATATCAACAATATTATAATTAATGAAGGACATTTTAAACAGTCATTAGACCGTTTTAGGACACTTTGAAGTTCTAAAACAGTTTTATGGTGATTAGGATAAGTTTTAGGATATTTTGGACTGTTATGATGATTTAGGACATTTTAAACAGTCCAGAAACAGATTTAGGACATTTTGAACATTCTTAATACAGTTTTTGGACATTTTACAGTTCTTAAACAGTTTTGTGGTGAATTAGACAGTTTTATATGATTTAGGACATTTTTTTATAAAACAGTTATGATGATTTAGGACATTTAAACAGTCCCAAAACAGTTTTAGGACATTTTAGAGTTCTAAAGCAGTTTTATGAAGATATAGGCAGTTCTAAAACAGTTTATGTGATTTAGAGAGTTCTAAAAAGAGTTTTATATGATTTAGGACATTTTAAAGTCCTACAAGTTTTCGGACTAGAGTTTCAAAATATTTTTATTATGTTTAGTCCAAATTTGGACTGTTATAAAACAGCTATGATGATTTAGAACATTTTAGAGTTCTAATGCAGTTTTATGAAGTTTTTAGATAGTTATATAACAGTTTAGGACATTTTAAACAGTTTAGAACATTTAAGTTCTAAAACAGTTTTATGGTGATTTAGGACACTAAACAACCTTAAAGAAAATTTGATGTTATTAAACAGTTATGATGATTTAGGACATTTAAACAGCCTTAAGGCAGCTTTATGATTTAGACAATTATAAAACAGTTTTTATGATGATTGAGGTTTAAGAAAATTTATAGTTCTAAAACATGCAGTTCTATGAAGATTAAGACAGTTTTAAAACGTTTTATGGTGATTTAAATTCTTAAACAGTTTTATGGTAATTTAGGACAACGCCTTAAGACAGTTTTGTGATATTTATAAAACAATTATGATGATTTAGGACATTTAAAACAGTCCCTGTAGGGTTATAAAACTATTTTATGGTGATTTAAGACAATTTAAACAGTTTCAGAACATTTAGAGTTCTAAAACAGTTTTATGAAGATTTAGACAGCTGAGAGAGTTTTATGTTGATTTGGGACATTTTACAGTTCTAAAATAGTTTTATGGTCTTTTAGGACAAATCCTCAAGACCGGTTTAAGACATTTTAGAGTTCTAAAACAGTTTTATGCTGATTGTAAACAGCATTAATAAAGTTTAATGACATTTTAGACAGTTTAAGGACATCTTACAGTTCTAAAGTTGTATGGTGATTTAGGGCATTTGAAACAATCTTAGGACAGTTTTAGTGCTAAAAGTGTTATGGTAACAGTATAAATTTATAGCTTTTAGACAAAGCCTTAGGACAGGATATTTTAGACCCATTAAAGGCCAACAGTTTTAGGATTAGTAACTTTTGTTTGAGATAACCAAATCATCCAATTTTTGAACAGGTGAAATAAAAAACTGGATATAATTATACATATAAATTTTATTAAACATTTTTCAATTAATGCAACATTAAATTAAGACTTAATATTTACACAGATGTCTTTTCAGTCTTGGGACATGTAAAATTGCTGCAATACCAAAAAGTAATTAATGAAAATGCTCAACTAAAAATAGTAACAAAAATAGGTAGTATAGGAACGTTTTAAATAAAAAACAATTTAATTAAGAGAGCAAATTACAAAAAAATGCCGCAATTGCTTATGTATAGATATATAGAAATTACTAATGTCTTGCCAGCTGGCTGTAGACTAGTCTACAAGTTATTTACAAAATCAACTTGTAAATAAATAAATAAAATATAACTCATTTTTAAAATACTGATAGTAATAGTACATATATTTTGGTATTACTAGTTCAAAAAAACATAAATAAAATTAACGAAGTTAATAAATAAATTTTCTTCTTACACCACATAATTAAAAAATTAAAAACTGCAAATCTGACAGTTGGCAAGATGAAGTCTAACTTCAAAATTGACGTTTGACAGAACATCTGTTTTGACAGATGTATAGCTTATCTAAAAAGGGAATATTTACACTTTTAACTAGTTCAAGTCGCACTCGCCACTAGAAAAATTTAAACCTTAAAAAAAGTCTCGGTGATTTTGCGTAGCTACTACACACATTAAGCTGCCAAAACTGTTTTGTTTGACACTTGCACACTTTTGAATGGGAAAAAGTACGAATTAGTAAACTAACAATCAAGAGGTCCCCTGATCACTCTCGTTTACCAGAAGGGAATTGCCTGAAAAAAATATAAAGTTATTAGATATTTATTTCGGACGTAGTATACAATTATTGCTACCAATTATTAACCCCCCCATTATTAACGGGGGACACCCAGTATAATAATTGTCGACAATTAAGTAAATGATTCAGTTAAAATGGCATTTCTTTTAATGTACTGGACAATTATACAGGGGTGTCCGAAAATATCGCACTACCATACATGATTAAAAATTACAAATAATTTTTTTAACAAGTAAATAAATTATTTTCAACTGTTTCAGAACAGTCAAAAACGTTTAAGACAGTTTTACTACTTTAATTTACATTTGCATGCAGTTTTAAAGACAGTTTAATCTTGCTTAACTGACATTTTTAAGCTAGCTTAAGTTTACATTCTTAAGGCAGTTTTTAAGACAAGAATGTCATCCGACTTAAATAACCTAAAAACTGTCTAAAATGACATAAAAACGAATTTCAAGTACCTATACTAAAACTACCTTAAAACTGTTGAAACTGTCTAAATTGTCTCGAATCTTTTTAAAAACTCTCTAAAATGTCCTAAAACTCCATAAGAATTGTTTAAATTTAAAACTGCCTTAACATTAACATCTTAAAACTGTTTAAGAACTCTAAAACTGTCTTAAATGTTCTAAATTGACAAGGCAGTTTTTAAGACTGCTATATCTAGATTAAGTTGACATTTTTAATTCATTTTTTAATACAGTTAATTCTTGCTTAGCGTAATTTTCTTAGGGCAGTTTTTAAGACTGTTATATCTACTTAAGTCCTAAGAAGACAGTCACATCTGACTTTCTTTAGGCAGTTTTTAAGAGTAAATTAAAATTCTTAATGAATTTCCTAAATTGCCTTAAAACTATATAAATTGCCATAAAACTGCTTAAAAACTGACTAAACTGTCCTTAAATTGTCTGTTTAAATCTCCCAAAACTGCTTTAAAATTAAATTTAAAATAAATTCTTAATCTAATATGTCGTTAAACTATCTAAAACTACCTTTAAAATGCAATGTCTTAATTGTCCTAGACCCATTTAAAATGTCCTACAACTGCCTTAAAACTATTTTCCAGATTTAAAACTGTCTTAAATTGACACATTTATATCTATCTTAAGTTGACATTCTTAGGTTTTAAGACAGTCATAACTAGCGTAAGTTTACATTTTTAAGACAGCTGTATCTAGCTTAAGTTGAAATTCTGGATGCAGTTTTTTAAGACGGTTATATCTAGATTAAGTAGTATTTAAATTAAGTTAACATTCTTAATGCAGTTTTTAAGACAGCTTAAGTTGACAGTCATATCTAGTTTAAGTTAATGTTCTTAAGGCAGTTTTTAAGACAGCTATATCCAGGTTAAGTTGAAATTCTGGATGCAGTTTTTAAGACAGTTATATCTAGATTAAGTAGACATTCTTAAGGCAGTTTTTAAATGTTGTAAGAAATTTCAAAAAATCGTTTTTTAAACTGTGGACAATTTAAACTTGAAAATAATTTATAAAACTTTTAACTGTATATTGATTTTTTTTATATTATAACCACCACCATATAAAAAATAAAAATCTACATACAGGCCGACGAGCAACTTATAAATCCTACTGTGGATCATCGAAAGGTGGTAAAGATGGTTGCATAGCCTCTGATTCAAAATAAATATAAAATATCAGTTTAAAAAAAATTATCAAATTTAGAGTATTTTTTTAAATGGTACCAACCCAATTTTAACATGTTCAAAAAGCATTAAACAAAAAATAATCACTAGAAAAGCTTACAAAATTACTCCCAATTTTTTTAAATTATTTCAGCGTTTTACTTTTAGAGTTCATCTCATCTGATAAAGCAGCAGCGATTTCATACAGTTTATTACCATTTTTCCGCAACTCTAAAATATGTTTAACTCTTTTAAATACCCATTCCCAAATATTAGTACAACCTGCAAAAGAGTACAGTCATGGACAATAGCAATTAGAGGTTTATTAAAATCGTCCGTAACTGTACTTTTTGCCCTGCAATGGTTAATTAAAACATAAAAAACACAACAAGCACTAACTAAAAATCGTACCTTGAAGGGTTTTATCGACTTTACGTTTATCCTGCACCACGTAAAGGGCGGTAAAAAGGAAAAATATGCCGCCGAGAATTTCCACGAAACACGTGGAAAACAGAGCGTACTGCAAGGATCTGAATTCGGTGTCCTCGGCAGGCGCCATGTGCTTTTGAAAGGCCTCAGATAACTGAAATTTAAAAAAAAATTGAATATGTTGTCTCTGGCTGTATACGCTAAAGAAGTATCGCTCGGCTGTTATCATCGTAACAAAAGTAAAACTTTTGATAATCAGCTGTCAAACGCTTATGTTACAAACGAGTGTTTTTGAGAATAAAACCGGAAAATGTTAAAAACTATCGAAAAAAAAACCGTGGCTCGATTTGTTGCGTTGTTGGGTGTATTTCGAGAGGAAATCCTGGGTTGAGTTTTTACCCGTTTTCCAATAAACAGTGTTAATCCGAATGAAGAAAAAATTGCTTACAGTCTCTGTAAATATAAATTGTACCTATTGGATACAATAAATACACATCTTAGTAGTGATTAACGTGAAAAGTGTAAATATTTCAATTCAGTAAAAATCGTCGAACAAATAAGTCGTCTAAATTTAAACAGCATTTAGCATTATTAAAAGCGTTGATCAAGAAAGTCTCCACTCAACGGTAAAATACCATTATGTTATGTATTATATATAATATTATGTTGCCATGAATTCGTAGGTATACTTTGTTGTTTAAAATGTAGTTGTCGGCGTTTTTTAGAGAACTCAAATATAAAAATGGTTGATTTTAAGGTTATGTCTGTGCGAAAATTATTTTTACCAATTTCTTAAAAATTTCCAAACTTAAATATAAATTATATTAGGTAAAGTTATCGTTAGTTAATTCTGCACCAACAAATGTACTTACCGAATTGGATCCTTTGGCAAAACATGAAAATGCAACGATTTAGTTCTTGAATTTTATTTACAATTAAAAACACAATAATTCACCATGATCCCTTAGATAAAATGCACACACTACCGTAACTATATAAGCATTTAGCGTTGAGTTTCTTAATCAATGATATAAAGAATAATCAGTCGAAATTGAGTACTAAACCAGTATTTTAGTTTTTTCCTTGCAACGTAAAACACAAATAACGTACGCGATTTAGCTGCGCAATTGAACAAAATTTGTCGAGTAAGACTTCTTTTGTGTAAAAACTTCCTATTTATTTAAAATTGATGTATAATCTGTGCTTTAAATGTGTTGTTGCGAAAACCCGATACTTCTTTAGCGTATAACTTCTTTACACCTACCGTTCCTATTAGATAGGGGCTTCCCGCGTCTCCCAGCGCATGGGCTACCAATAGTTGAAAACCTTCAGCTGTACTTCTTCGTGTTGGCAGTACAACATACTAAAAAATGCGAAACGATGAAAATACGATAATAAATTTATTTTTTATGAAAAACGGAAAAATAAAAGCAACAGAAACATAAATGAACTTCTTTCCTTCCCAAATTAATAACTAATATGATATACTGTAAAATGATTTGTTAATAATAATAAATAAAGTAAAAAAATTAGTGATTGTGCAATGAAAGGTGTGAGTACTAAATACTAATTATTAATGACGTTGCTTCAGTACTTGGCAGTTTTAGATAATCACCTAGAAGTACTTCTAAAAACCTAGGCAATAGTTCAGTGAGTTCACCCAACACCTTATTAAGAAATTAATTGATTGAAAGTGTGCTCAAATTGTTTTTATTTCTGTACATTTTTGAAGAATGGAAAGAAATTCCTAATAATAAAAATAAATTAAACCAAAATAAGCTTTTTATGCAGTCTACCAAACGTTATTAACAATAATTATATAAAATTATGCACTACGAAGTCAACAGTCAAATTATAGCTTGTAGACTATGTTTAAAAACAAAACAAAAACTACCTATGTATAAATCATACAAAGTACAATTATCAACAGTAATAACATATAAATGGTAATTGTTGGCATTACACCATAATGAATATTTAAAAGGTATTTTGAAATTGGACTACAAATTATCTATTATGTCCTGTTAAAAAAAAACTATTTCAATAGAACTGCATTGAAAAAAGCAAAATGGGTCGCATCAAATATCTATTGTCTGTTGTTTTCTGATAAAATTTATATAAATTTTACTTATTGACCTTTGGAATTGCAGATTTTAATCAATCTGCCCAGTAGCTTTTAGTGTGAATATAAGTCTAAATTGTCCTAAAACTGTCTAAAATGTCTTAAACTGTATAAATAGTCCTAACTGCTATAAAACTGACTAAATTGTCCTGTCTAAAAATGTCTTAAACTGCTTAAAATGTCCTTAAACTGTCTAAATTGTCCTAGGAACATTTGCATTTTAAACAGTTCAAAATTGTGTTAAGGCACTTTAGGACAGTTTAAACGGTTCTTGGATATTTTTAGGATATTTTAGACGATTATATAATTTATGCAGTTTAAGGCAGACATTTTTAGACAGTTTTAGGACAATTAAAATGTATTAAACTGTATATTTTAATTATTCGTCTAAAATATCCTAAAACTGTTCAAAACTATTTTAAACTGTTTAAAATGTCCTAAAACTGATTCGGGACTTCCTATTTAATATGCAATAAAACTGTCTAAAAATGTCCGAACTGTTTTAAAATATACAAAAATTTAAAAACTGAGTTAATTGTCATAATACTGCCTTAAAACTGTTTTTACATTGTCCTAAAACTATCTAAACAAGTCCTAAAACTGCCTGAATTGTTTAAAATGTCTGAAAACTGTGTAAAATGCCTTAAAAACTATTTTAAACTGTTTAAAATGTCCTAGAACTGATTCAGGACTTCCTATTTAGTATGCATTAAAACTGTCTTAAAAATGTCCGAAAACTGTTTTAAAATATACTAAAATTTAAAAACTGAGTTAATTATCATAATACTGCCTTAAAACTGTTTTTACATTGTCCTAAAACTATCTAAACAAGTCCTAAAACTGCCTGGATTGTTTAAAATGTCTTAAAACTTTGTAAAATGCCTTAAAAACTATTTTAAACTGTTTAAAATGTCCTAGAACTGATTCAGGACTTCCTATTTAGTATGCATTAAAACTGTCTTAAAAATGTCCGAAAACTGTTTTAAAATATACTAAAATTTAAAAACTGAGTTAATTGTCATAATACTGCCTTAAAACTGTTTTAATATTGTCCTAAAACTGTCTAAACAAGTCCTAAAACTACCTGGATTGTTTAAAATGTCTTAAAACTGTGTAAAATGCCAAACTATTTTAAACTGTTTAAAATGTCCTAGAACTGATTCAGGACTTCCTATTTAGTATGCATTAAAACTGTCTAAAAAATGTCCGAAAACTGTTTTAGATTATATGTACTAAAACTTAAAAACTGGGTAAATAGTCATAATAATGCCTTAAAACTATTTTAACACTTTCCTAAAACTGTCTAAACAAGTCCTAAAACTGCCTGGATTGTTTAAAATGTCAAAACTGTCTAAAATACCGTAAAACTGTTTTAAAATGTACTGTCTAAATTGTCCTTAACATGTTTTGGAAGTAAAAATGTCCTAAAACTTCCTTAACATTGTCTTAAAACTGTTTAAGAACTGTTAAATTGTCTTAAATGACCCAAATCTTAAAAACTGCTTTGAAATTTTCTAAAATGTCCCAAAACCGCCTTGGAATTGTTTAGAATGTCTTAAAACTGTCTAAATTGTCCTAAAATTGTCTTTAAAATGTCTAAAAACTATTTTAATCCTGTCTAATGTTCTAAAATATCCTAAAATTGTCTGTTAAAAATGTCTTAAAACTGCCTTAGGAATGTTTAAAATCTCCTAAAAATACCTTAACATTGTCTTAAAACTGTTTAAGAACTGTAAAACTGCCTTAAATGACCTAAAACTTATAAATTGCTTAGAAACTATTTAAAATGTCCCAAAACAGCCTTGGGAGTGTTTAAAATGTCTTGAAACTGTCTAAATTGTCCTAAAACTGTTTTAGGACTAAGAATGTCCTAAAAACTACTTTAAATCTGTCTATATTGTCCTAAAAGTTTCCAAAATGTCATAAAACTACCTTAAAGGTCTAAATTGTTCAAAAACTGTCTAAAATGTCCTAAAACTACCTTAGGAATGTCTTAAAACTGTCTTATATGTTTAAAATCTCTTAAAACTCCTTAACACTGTCATCAAACTGTTCAAGAATTGTAAAACTGTCTTAAATGACCTAAAACTCTGTAACAAATTTTTACAGAATATCTACTAACGTGGTTTTGTTTTAAGACAAAATTTGGTGCAGTTTTATGACATTTTTAGTAAAAATTGAAGAACTAAAACGGTTTTAGAACCTTGTCAGAGGTATTGAAGTCTGCAATTCCAAAAAACCATAACTTTGTTAATTCGTCAAAATTGGACATTTTGTCGTTAATTTCATATTTTCTTTTGACTTTTTACCAAAAAACTGAAAGAGAAGTAATAGCATGACAAGACAACAACATATTTGACATAAACCCCATTAGAAACGGCACAGAAAAGACAGAAAACAGTGAAAATTAACGGATAGCAGAGTTCACCGTCGAGGTCGAGAGTCTTACCAGCAAAATGTCACTGACTATTGCCCAGTTGAGATTGAGCGCGACCTGTCCGACGAACAGTAGGAAGTAGCACAGGGGCGTAGATCGGGTGGCGGCGTAGGTGGTGGCCAAGAGGAGGGGGGCGGAGAGCAGCAGGCCCGCGGCGCAAATGACCGGATCGACCTTGGGCCAGCGCGGCTTCAGCCACTGGCTCAAGAACGTGCCGGCCGTGAGGCCCACTATGCCCGCCGCCATCGTGATCGCGCCGAAAATGAACGCCGTCGTACTGAAACAGCGTCGAAAAGCTAATGAACATCGGGGGCGGGGTGGCACCAGTCCCCCCGCTCTCTAAAAGTTAATTTGTCGAAAATGACTGATCGTCGTTGCGAAAAAGCAGCCACTAATAACTAGTGCACAGCAATTTGTATCCCGGACATTTAGCAGTAAATTCCTGTGTAAAATTGTCCCCTTAATCCGAAAAGACAGTCCAAAATTATAAAAGTAGAGCAGTCTTAAAAACTGCTTTAAGAATATCAACTCAAGCTAAAAACTGCATTAAGAATGTCAGCTTAAGCTAGCCATAACTCTCTTAAAAACTGATTTAAGAATGTCAACTTAAGCTATGTATGACTGTCTTAAAAACTGCATTAATAATTTTAAGTTAAGCAATGTTTAACTATATTAAAAACTGCATTAAGAATGTCAACTTAATTTAGGTATGACTGTCTTAAAAACTGAATTAAGAATGTTAACTTAAGCTAGGTATGAATGTTTTAAAAACTGCATTTAGAATGTTAAGTTAAGCAAGATTTAACTGTCTTAACAACTGCATTAAGAATGTCAACTTAAGCTAGGTATGACTGTCTTAAAACTGCATTAAGAATGTTTAGTTAAGCAAGATTTAACTGTTTTAAAAACTGCATTAAGAATGTCAAACTACGTATGACTTTCTTAAAACCTGCGTTAAGAATGTCAACTTAAGCTAGTTATGACTTTCTTAAAAAACTGCATTAAGAATGTCAACTTAATCTAGGTATGACTGTCTTAAAACTGCATTAGGAATGTTAAGTTAAGCAAGATTCAATAGTCTTACAGACTGCTTTAAAACGTCAACTTAAGCTAGATATGACTGTCTTAAAAACTGCATTAAAAATGTCCTTAAGATGGGTATGAATTTCTTAGAAAGATTTTACTGCATTAAGAATGTCAACTTAATCTAGGTATGACTGTATTAAAAACTGCATTAAGAATGTTTAGTTAATCAAAATTTAACTGTCTTAAAAACTGCATTGAGAATGTCAAACTACGTATGACTCTCTTAAAAACTGCATTAAGAATGTCAACTTAGCTAGTTATGACTTTCTTAAAAAACTGCATTAAGAATGTCAACTTAATCTAGGTATGACTGTCTTAAAACTGCATTAAGAATGTTAAGTTAAGCAATATTTAACTGCATTAAAAATGTCCTTAAGATGGGTATGAATTTCTTAAAAACTGCATTAATTTATGTTAAGTTAAGCAAGATTTAATTGTCTTAAAAACTGCATTAAAAATGTCAAACTACGCATGACTGTCTTAAAAACTGCATTAAGAATGTCATCTTAAGCTAGGTAGGCTTAACTGCTTTAAAAATGTCAACTTAAGCTAGATATGACTGTCTTAAAAACTGCATTAAGAATGTTAAGTTAAGCAATATTTAACTGTCTTAAAAACTGCATTAAAAATGTCCTTAAGATGGGTATGAATTTCTTAAAAACTGCATTAAGAATGTCAAGTTAAACAAGATTCAACTGTCTTAAAAACTGCATTAAGAATGTCAACTTAAGATAGGTGTGACTATCTTAAAAACTGCATTAAGAATGTTAAGTTAGGCAAGATTTAACTGTCTTAAAAACTGCATTGAAAATGTCAAACTACGTATGACTGTTTTAAAAACTGCTTTAAGAATGTCAACTTAAGCTAGGTAGGCTTAACTGCTTTAAAAATGTCAACTTAAGCTAGATATGACTGTCTTAAAAACTGCATTAAGAATGTTAAGTTAAGCAAGATTTAACTGTCTTAAAAACTGCATTGAAAATGTCAAACTACGTATGACTGTCTTAAAAACTGCTTTAAGAATGTCAACTTAAGCTAGGTATGACTGTCTTAAAAACAGCATAAAGTATGTCAACTTAAGATAGGTGTGACTATCTTAAAAATGTTAAGTTAAGCAATATTTAACTGTCTTAAAAACTGCATTGAAAATGTCAAACTACGTATGACTGTCTTAAAAACTGCAGAACGTCAATTATACAAGATTTAACTGTCTTAAAAAATGCATTAAGAATGTCAACTTAAGCTACATAATATGATAGTCTTAAAAAATGAATGTAAAATAGTTTGCTTCTTTCATTATTTTTACTGTCTTTTCGGATTTAGGGGACAATTTTACACGGGAATTGACTGCTAAATATCGGGGATACAAATTGATGTGGACTACAATCATTAGTGACCGCTTTTTCGCTTTGAAAACCAGTGATTTTCGACTAATTAGTTTTTAGAGGATTCGCGCACGCGCCGTGGTGCCGCCACGCCGCCCGGCGCCATTTAGCGGCCGGCTTACCAGAAGCATGTCGGCGACGACGGCCCAGATGAGATTCAGCGATAGCTGCGCGGCGAATATCAGCGCGTAGCACAGCACCGAACTGTGTCGCGCCGATATCAGCGCCAGGAAGACGAGCGGGCCGGATACCAAGACGCCTAGCGCGCATATGTACGCGTCGATTTTCTCGACGGTCGGGCGCATGCGCTGCGCGATCGCGCTGCCCAGCGGCACGCCGATGACGCCCGATATCATCGACACCAAGCCGAACTTGTACGAAGCGCTGGAAGGCAATTGTGGGTGAGTTGCGTGACGAAAAAAACAAGCTTTCGTGTGCACCGTCGTTATTTAAATCAATTTGTGTTGCTCGCAAACAAAAACTTGCTTTTTTAGCACTGTAAACGATGAAAAACTTACTCGTCATCTCCTTGAGACTTGTGGTGCAAGTTGATTCCCATTTCGATGAACTTGGGGCCCCACCACGCCAAGGCGCCCGCCACAAAAGATACGCAAGTGAACCCGGCCGTCGACAGCATAAAGCTTTTGCTAAACGAAAAAAAAAAAAGACGTGGAATGTTTGTGAAGTGGTATGGCATTAATTGAAGGGGTTGGATGAAACTCACTTTTGAACGATGACCTTGATGTCCTCCAGCCAGGGAGTGGTCTCCATGTGTCCGCTTCCTTCGCTGTGCCCGCGTTCGGGGTCCTCGAGCACGAAAATTATGAGAAGAACGGCAACGATGCCTAGGGCGGGGGTCACCCTCAAGGCCCAGTGCCACGACCCCGCCAATTGGGCCGTTTCCGAGCCCACGATGTAGCCCAAACCGCTAAAAAAGTACGACAAATGTTGCGTCATGGAACAGTCCAAAAACAGCTTCAACCCTTTAAAATATCCTGTCCAAATTGAAATTTGGCCAGAGAATATTCGAAAAAGGTGCGACGGTTTTGATTCTGGTTTCAACTACATTTATTTAGACAAGTAAATTTCATTAAGTATGACCAAAAATTGACATATTTTATGCCTTATGGCTTTAAATTTTGAGTAATGACCCCGTCGAAAGACGGTAGATGGCACCACTCACTTCGTCTCACCGCAGATAATGATTCCAAAACCTATATAAGGACAAGGAATCATAATTTCGTTCGTGTTCCAAACCATACAGCAGCTAGATAGAGCGAAACAGCTATCTATCGTTGCTGGTGAGGAACACGAACGAAATTAAACGAAAGCGGAGACGAAGTAATTGATAAATTAAGGTTATGTTTTCAAGTTTTTTTAATAAATAATTCAATTTCTTACTTTTCGAAGATTGTTATTCCCTCGTTAATTTTGAATTAATAAAAATTTACATTGATAGTTCTATATTTTTTGTTCATTGTTACAGATTTTCATTTCGTTGCATGAAGTTCAGTGACGAAAAAGAACTGCCTTTTTTTAGGTAAAGTGCGTACAAGGCTTTTACTACAAGCAGGACAATTTAAAAATAAATTTTCTCCCCATATGTCACAGAAGAAAAGAAGATTTATTGGGTTTAAAGATCTATAGTGCCTGAAGTGAACAAGGTTATTGTAATTTTTGCAATGAATTTTAATATTGATTTATTTTTTTATTTTAGAAGTTCTTCATAGTATAAAGTTACCAATCACAAACAATTTTACAATATGTTCTTAATGTTTAACAAAACATAATTCTTGATAGCCTTATCGTAATTCTATTTGTATCAAAACTTTTTAATTATAATAAAAAAAATAAAAATAAAAAAAAAATTATAATCAAAAATTATTTTATCCGAAATCGGCAGTAAAGTAAAAGAAATCGGCCGATTTAATACGAGTATTGTATGCAACCCATTATACATTTTAAGATGTGTCTACTGCTCCTCAGCAGCAACTAAATAATATTTAAAAAAAAGCACAAATACCTACTACTTTACTGCCTTGATACATAAATAACTATTTAATGAAGAATCCCAACAACCGTGTATAAACCAGTCCAACTTATTTTAGTTGCATCTCAATAATAACAAAAAAAGATTCTTCAGATTAACTTGATGAACTTTTTTATCGCATCGTCGGTCGTAATCTCGCTTGTGCTGTCTGTTTGTTGCAGTTGTTTCTTTTTGATCGCAAAGAAAGCACATTAAACTACCGAAACGACCACAATAAAGGGTGTTTACTTTAACCGAACAGCAAACAAAAACGCTTTTATCCCGATATCGTTTCGTTGCATCTCGAATGTTGTTTGTTTATTCCCCCTCTCGACAAACAAACGGTGCATGTCGAAAAAAGGGCAGAGCGCTTTATTGCTCTTCTTTTTTTATCGACGATTGAAAAATTGATTTAACTAAAATAGTATATTAAAGAACTAATGTCATTTTATATTATAACCAATAGGCAAAATATTAGGCAGTTTAAAGTATAGCCAACCTATAAAATCAATGTTTTGGGTGGGATAAAGTATCTCATTACAGCACCAAAAGCGGTGTTATAATGAAGTCATTATGAACGCAAAATAGATAAAAATATTTTTCTTACCTTCCGACAGGGATGGCAAAATAGAAGACGGCCAACATTTTCGATCTGACATCATTGATGAACAAATCGCTTATAATCGTCGGAGCGATTGTGGAATAGCTGGCTTCGCCTATGCCTACCAGCGCCCGGAAAAACAGAAACCAGTAAAAATTCTGTAAAAAAAAATTTAAATCGTTACTAAAACACCCAGTACATTTTTTGGGCAGCAAGATAAATCGTTTCGTTTGACATAATAAAATGCGGTTGATGGAGCTTTTACGCGCCAAATTTTCACGAATTTCCCCTGAGCCTCGGAAAATTTGATACTTGCTGTGGGGTGAAATCCTGTTAAAGCTAAAAGCACGTCGGTGCTTAAATAAACTCTATTAGACCCGCAAAAAAACATCTGCAGATGTCACAAAAAATTTAATTTGACCAAAAATTATGTCCTATTAAAAAAACTGCATTAAAAAAAGCAAAATGAGTCGCATCAAATATCTATTTCTGTTGTTTTCTGATAAAATTTATATAACTTTTAATTATTGTCCTTTGGAATTGCAGATTTTAATACCTCAGACCAATTGTTTTTAGTGTGAACTTAAGTAGCTAGCTTTGGTCTAAATTGTCCTAAAGCTGTCTAAAATCTCAAAACTGTATAAATTGTCCTAAAATTTGTTTACACTGATTAAAACGTCCTTAAACTGTATAAACCTGCCTTAAATGCCCTTAAACTGTCTAAATTGTCCTAGAAACTGCCTTAAAACTATTTTAAATGGTCTGATATCTTAAAACTGTCCTATCCAGAAATGTCTTAAACTGCCTTAAACTGTTTAAATTAGATAATCGTCCCAAAGCTGTTTTAAACTACTAAAACCTAAAAACTGAGTAAATTGTCATAATACTGCCTTAAAACTTTTAACATTTCTAAAACTGTCTAAACAAGTCCTAAAACTGACTGGATTTTTAAAATGTCTTAAAACTGTATTAAATGCTCTAAAAACTGTTTTAACTGCTTTGAAACTGTCTAAATTGTCCTAAACCTTGGGAGTGTTAAACATGTCTTAACATTTTCTTAAATGTTTAAGAAATGTTAAACTGGCTTAAATGACCTAAAAATTAAAAAACTACCTTAAACCTTTTTAAAATGTCCCAAAACTGTCTTAAATCTATTTTAAATGGTCTAAATATCTTAACTGTCCTGTCCAAAAATGTCTTAAACTACCTTAAAATTGTATAAATTGTCCTAAAACTGCCTAAAATACCCTTAAACTGCATTAATGGTCCTGTTTAAATGCCCTAAAACTACCTTTAAACTGCTTTGGTAATCTCTAAATTGTCCTAACTGCATTAAAAACTATTTTTAAATGCATTTTAAACAGTTCAAAATTATTTTAAGGCACTTTTAGGACAGTTAAAACGATTATATAATTTATACAGTTTAAAACATTTTCACATTGGAAAATTTTAAAAGTTTTTAGGCAGTCCCAAGACAGTTTTATGACATTTTGACCATTTTAAACGTCCTAAAAGTGCCTTAAAAACTATTTTTAACTGTTTAAAATGTCCTAGAACTGATTCAGGACTACCTATTTAATATGCATTAAAACTAAACTAAAACTTAAAAACTGAGTAAACTGTTTTAAAACATTGTCCTAAAACTGTCTAAACAAGTCCTAAAACTGCCTGGATTGTTTAAAATGTCGTAAAAGTGTCTAAAATGCCATAAAACTGTATTAAAATGTACTGCTTCGAAACTGTCTAGATTGTCCTAAAACTTAGGACTGTAAAAAATATAGTAAAACTGCCTTAACATTGTCTTAAAACTGTTTAAACTGTCTTAAATTAAAAATGGATTTAAAAACAAATCTTTCTGAAAATCTGCATCTTCAGATGTCACAAAAAAATAAGTCCGGTTAAAATTATACATTATTTTACTTACGCCCATGTATGATCCACACAGTGTCGTCATGCTCCATAGGAACACACCAGCCGCCATGATCCATCTTCTACTGTATCTGTCGCCCAGGTAACCAAAGATAGGGGCAAAAATCATGTAGCTCAGAATAAAAGCGGTCTGCAAAAGACCTGCCTTGCCATTTTGAATATGGTAGGAGTCTTGGATGTCTTTTAATATACCTGGAATAAAAAACGTATTTAAAAAAAGTCAAAATAATGGCTTCTCTGGCAACAAGTGTCTTATATTTTTCGTTTTAAATTAAATTCGCCAGAAGCGCCACACAATATTACTGCAAACCCGACGGTAATGGCTTTTACGTCTTTCCTCCCCGGTTTTTATTACTCATAACAGGGAAGTGTCGAAAGTTGGGACTCGAGCGCTCAAAACTTAATTAACGTAAGGTAATTTAAATCCGATACAAAGGTGAAGAAAAAATTAATAGCAAGTCCGGGTCGATTTTATCTTGAAATTACGAAAGTTGGAAAATTTAAATTTTAAGTGGTTACACGGATTAACCACCCTAAACCTCACCTTAAAGAAAAGCATTTTTGAATAAGACTGAAACTAAATCAAGGATGTCTTTAGACTGGGCCAAAAAAATCAACTATTTTTTTTTTGAAAAGTAGGTATATCGAAAATATGGTTTGGGGTGACAAAAAAAAAAATATTGTGAAAGTTTGAGTCCATAATATTAATATTAAGAGGTCTATCATCGCAATTTTAATATTTTTTTCCTCAGCAAGTTTTTGTCTCAGAACTCCCAAATCATTGAGTTTAACAAAATTGACTCGAAAATATTTTTTTAAGAAAATTAAATTCTCTACAAAAAAGGTTAAAGTGAAATTTTCTGTAAGATGAACCATTTCCTTAAAATCATGCCTTAAAAATTGGTATAGTTTTACAATTTGATCTTTTAACTTTGGAATTTTGTAATTCATGTAAAAATCAGTACCCTGAAAAAACGATAAATATTCTTATGGGAAATGAAATGCTCTACAAAAAAGTCTTTTATCATTTTTGGCTAAATTCACTCAATCAAAAGTTATTCAAGGGTAAGATTTCGTTTTGACTTCAAATTTAACCTTGAATAACTTTTAATTGAGTGAATTTAGCCAAAAATGATAAAACACTTTTTTTGTAGAGAATTTGATTTCCCATAAGAATATTTACCGGTTTTTTTCCGGGTACTGATTTTTACATGAATTACAAAATTACAAAGTTAAAATATCAAATTGTAAAACTATATACATTTTTAAGGCATGATTGTAAGAAAACGGTTCATCTGACCGGAAATTCCAATCAAACCTTTTTTGTAGAGCATTCAATTTTCTTCAAAAAATATTCTTAAGTCAATTTTGTTAAACTCAATGATTTGGGAGTTCTGAGACAAAAACTCGCTCAGGAAAAAAAAATCTAAAATTGCGATGATAGACCTCTTAATATTAATATTGTAGCGAGTACCGCTCTGGATATCGGAGTGATGACTCATCGCCGGTTAGTCATCGCCGATGAGTCATCGCCGGTGACTCAGCGCTCGAACAATCGAGAGTGTGGAGCTCGCTGGAATGTTCCAGAAGACCTTGGCGCTGAATATATAAGAAACGGAGCAGCACACGGCAGTCAGTTGAGCTTTGGTACTCCCGAAGAAATAAATAAATATAAGTGCAAATAAATAGACTCTTGAACAATAGTGATATATAAATAATTAGTAGTTAAGTGTTTAGTTAGTTTTATAGTGTTTTAAGTGTAGTTAAGTTATTAAATAAATAGTTTAGTTCGTTAATTAACCAGTGCGTGTTTTAATTCACACTACGAACAGTTAAAAACGTTACAATTGGTGTCAGGAGTGCGGTTAGTGTGAAACTTCGCGAAAATGGTTTCGTTAATGGACTTAAAAGTGGCGGACCTTAAGCGGGAGCTGGAAGAAAGGGAATGTGAAACAACTGGAAAAAAGAATGTGTTGCAGCAGCGGCTTCGAGAAGCGTTGGAACAAGAGGGTGAAAATCCAGATACGTATTTATTTGAAGGTTCGTGTGATATGCATTTAATGTTGCAAAATTTAAACGATTTAAAACAGAAAATGCTAGAAAATTCTAAAGAACTAAAAGTCGATTTGCAACAGAAAATGTTGGAAAATTCTAGTGATGTACAACAGAAAATGTTAGAAAATGTCAACGATTTAAAGGATGATTTGCAACAGAAAATGGTGGAAAATTCTAGCGATTTGAAAATCGATTTACAACAGAAGATTCTGGAAAATGTCAACGAGTTAAAGGACGATTTGCAACAGAAAATGCTAGAAAATTCTAAAAACCTAAAAGAATATTTGGAAGGGAAGATTCTAGAAAATGTCAATGAATTAGAAGAGAAAGTTGACGATGTAAGGATGGAATTAAATAACGTAAGGATGGAATTGGATACGAGAGAAGAAAAATTGAACGAGAAATTGGAGGTCAAAATTAGAGAAATAAATAGTAAACTGACAGCTGTAAATCTACCCATGATGCTGGCGGAACCAGGAACAATGCCGGAGGGGAGCCGAGTTCGAATGAAACCACCTCAGTTCGATGGAAAAACTTCTTGGACCAACTACATCCGTCAGTTTGAGGCAGCAGCAAAAGCAAATGGCTGGCTACCAGAAGAAAAAGCTACAGCATTGACTCTGGCTTTACGCGGAGATGCAACGGACATCTTGCAGACACTCTCTCCCAACGAACAAGAAGATTACGAAGCGTTGGTTAAACATCTGGAACTTCGATATGGCCAGACACATTTGGAACATGTCTACCATTCCCAACTTAAGAACCGCTGCCAGAAATCAAACGAGACTTTGCAAGAATTCGAGGCTGATATTGCACGCTTGGTCCGGCTAGCATATCCAGCTACTCCAACGACCGTTATGGAACGATTAGCGGTTCAAGCCTTTTTGGATGGACTTCGAGACAACGAAACAAGACAGGCTCTAACACTGGCTCGTCCGAGCCAACTGGTTGATGCATTGGCTCGAGCTTTGGAATTCGAGGCGGCAAAGCAGAGCTGCAGGAGCCAGCCTAGAATAAGGAGAGTCGAAGAAGAAAAGGAGGAGGAACCTAGTATAATTGAAGCAATCAGACGAGTCCTTAAAGAGAATCTACCAGAAAAGAAGGAAATCCGGTGTTGGAGATGTGGAAAGCTCGGACATATACGAAGTCATTGCAGAAAAAGCCAGGAGGTGCCGACTTCATCTCAGTCGGAAAACTAGATAGGGTCGAGGAAAAGGGGCAACCGTCGACCTGTAACCAACATGCCCCAGAGGATATCGAACGTGTCGCATCTCTTCTACTTCAGTCCAGCAGTGTTTTTGTGGATGGCTTTATTAATGGAAAGTTACATGTGCTGCTGCTAGATACAGGTGCGACGAAGACAATTATTCGGCCAGATATTGTCGAAAAGTCGAAAATAAAATCTACCAATCGGCGACTACGTACTGCAACAGGAGATACTGCTACTGTTCATGGAGAAGTGGACATCACTATGGTCATAGGAAACACGAAATTTAAACATCGAGCATTAGTAGCAGATATTGAAGATGAAGTTATTGTAGGCATGGACATTATGAACTCTATAGGATTTGAACTAAACTTTCAACAAGGAATATTGAGAGTAAATGGAGAAGAAGTCGTGTTGCATCGATCAAAAGAAAAGAATATTCGTGTAATGCTAACAGAAGATGCTTTGATACCGGAACACAGCGAGATGATATTGAAGGCTTTCTTGGATTGTAAATCAGAAGATGGAAGTATAATGCTTCTGGAGCCGAAAATTGATGACAAAGAGGTCGGTCGAGGAGTTGTAGTAGGGAAGACTTTAATACGTGTCGGAAAAGAAGTGCCTGTAAGAGTATTGAATGTTAATGGTTACTCTGTGAACTTGAAAAAAGGAATCGTTTTGGGGAACTGTTCCTCAGTTTCCTCAATTATTAGAAGCATTCGTGAGTCTGGAGTTCCGGCCAAGAAAATTAGCAATGAATTGACGACTCTGCTTTCGACTTCTTCAAAGGACTTAAAACCAAATGAGAGAATAAAGCTGAAAGAGCTGATACACAATTATCAGGATGTCTTTGACGACGGACAAGGAAAGAAGGGTAGGACAAGAATTGTCCAGCATAAAATTAACACCGGTGATGCACAGCCCATTCGACAGTCGGCAAGAAGGCTACCACTTGCCAAGCGAGAGGAAGCTGATAAAATTGTGCAAGAAATGGAAAAGGAAGGGGTGATCGAACCATCCAACAGCCCATGGTCTTCCCCAGTGGTGTTAGTTAAGAAAAAGGATGGATCAACTCGATTTTGCGTCGATTTTCGTCAGCTGAACAACGTGACGAAGAAGGACAGCTACCCTCTACCTAGGATCGATGACACCCTGGATACATTGGCTGGATCCCAAATATTTTCGACTCTGGATTTGAAAAGCGGTTACTGGCAGGTTGAAATGGCACCAGAAGATAGAGAAAAGACGGCGTTTACCGTGGGTGCTGGACTGTGGCAGTTTACTGTCATGCCGTTTGGACTATGTAATGCCCCTGCAACTTTTGAAAGGCTCATGGAAATGGTTTTAAAGGGACTATCCTGGAAGACATGCTTGGTGTACCTTGACGACATCATTGTGGTTGGGAAATCATTTGAGGACCATATGAAGAACCTGAAGGAAGTCTTTCAGCGCTTAAGAAGTTCCGGCCTGAAGCTAAGCCCGAAGAAATGTCACTTGTTCCAGAGGGAAGTGCAGTATTTGGGCCATGTTGTTTCGAGTCAAGGAGTGGCAGTGGACAAACAGAAGGTGAAGACGGTGCGGGAATGGCCAGTACCGAAAAACAAACATGACTTAAGAAGCTTTCTTGGATTATGCACCTACTACCGGCGGTACGTACCTGGATTCGCAAAGGTTGCTAAGCCTTTGACACGTTTAACAGAGGGAGAAAGACGATTCCAATGGGACGAAGAATGCCAAGAAGCCTTTAAGAACCTGAAAAACGCGTTGACCAGCTCACCAGTCTTAAGTTATCCTCTTCCGGATGGTGAATTTATTTTGGACACGGACGCAAGTAATGTGGGCCTGGGAGCTGTTTTGTCGCAGATTCAAGCGGGAAAGGAGAAAGTTATTGGATACTTCAGTAAAACTTTATCCAAACCAGAACGAAATT